GCCTGTCTGTCTATGTATCTATCTATATCCATTCATCTCTCTTTCTCTCTCTCTCATCTATTTATCATCTATTTATTACATATCAATCATATCCATCCATCCATCCATCCTTTATCATCTATTTATTATCTATCTATCAATATCTCAATCTCTACCTGCCTGCCTGCCTGCCTGTCTATCTATGCATCTATCTATATCCATTCATATCTATCTATCTATCTATCTATCTATCTATCTATCTATCTATCTATCATCTATTTTTTATCTATCAATCATCTCTATCTATCTCTACCTATCTGTTTGTTTGTCTGTCTGTCTATCTATGTATCTATCTATATCAGTGGTTCTCAACCTGTGGGTCGCAACCTCTTTGGGGGTCGAATGACCCTTTCACAGAGGTCACCTAAGACCTTCAGAAAACACATATTTTCAATGGTTTTAGGAATAATTTTATGGTTGGGGGGTCACCACAACATGAGGAACTGTATTAAAGGTCACAGCATTAGGAAGGTTGAGAACCACTGATCTATATCCATCTATCGCTCTCTCCCTCTCTCTCTCATATCTATCTATCTGTCTGTCTACCTACCTACCTACTTACCTACCTACCCACCTACCTACCTACCTACCTACCTACCTACCTATCACCTATCTATTTCATTTATAAAATTTATTGGCTGCCCATCTGACCACAGGGTAACTCTGCAAGGCTTATAATATTAAATTAAAATATTTACTAAGTTTATAGACTGCCCATTTCACTGTTGAGTGACTTTGGGTGGAAATGTCTGTGTCTTGCAACTTTTATTTTTTTAGTAATTCCATAACTGGTTTATATCAGGCTGGCCTTTCCTGGTGGTCCCCTTTCTACTATGAACCAGCAGGTTGTCTCTGTGCTGCCTCCTGTTGGGGGGCTTGGAAATGCAACACTCATCCACTCAGCATCCTGTCCAGCTTGCCTAACGGGGTAACACTGTGAAGGATCAGCAAAGCTCCTCCATCAAAACCCCCCTTGAAAATAAGTTGTTTACAAGGAAAGGAAAGGCAGGGGATGCATTTGGGAACTTCTGCTGTTCGAGAGTCACAGGCAGACTGGACCCTCTCTGCCAATATCGGCCTTTAAGTCCAACTGGATCCCAGCAATCTCAGAAAGGGTTTCTAAGCATCTGCTCTTAAGCCACGCCTAGCTGGATCTTTTTCTGCAGCAGCATCCAGATGTGACCATCTGGCCCCCTGCCTATACCCGAGGCAGCCATGATGGGCAATTGGTTCATACTTATGACCGTTACTGCGTCCCAGGGTCAAGTGATCTCCTTTTGTGACCTTCTGACAAGCGAAGTCAATAGAGAAGCCAGATTCACTTAACAACCGGGTTACAAACTTATCAACTGTAGTGCTTCACTTAATAACTGTCTTGCTTGGCAACAGAAATTTTGTACACTATTTTAGTCATAAGTCAGGGAGAACCTATTTCAAATAAAATGGGTTTGGAATGTGTTCTTCAACTGGCCAGCCTCATTTGAGTCATGAAACATCTAGAGAGCCTGCCCAGCAACTATACATGTAGCATATAACACAGTTCATAGCATCCCATAATATTCTTAGCATGATGTTGTTAATGCCTAATTGCATATTCAGAGGATATGTTTGCCACATTATACTGAGTTTTCAGGTTATTAAAGTTCAATTTTCTGGGCAATTTCGTTCTAGTTTGAACCGGTGCTTATCAGAATCCACATTCTTAATTGTTACTTCTGAGGAACTAGAAACATTAATCAAAGGCATTCCTTTTTATGGAAGACAATTACAGATGGACCTCAACTTATAATAGCAATAGCGCTTGGACTTATATACCGCTTCACAGTGCTTTGCAGCCCTTTCTAAGCGGTTTACAGAGTCAGCCTCTTGCCCCCAACAATCTGGCTCCTCATTTTACCCACCTCGGAAGGACAGAAGGCTGAGTCAATCTTGAGCCTGGTGAGATTCGAACTCCTGGCTGTGGGAGGAATTAGCCTGCAGTACTGCATTCTAACCACTGGGCCATTACAGATAGATGATTAGATAGATAGATAGATAGATAGATAGATAGATAGATAGATAGATAGATAGACAGAGACACATACAGAGAGACAGATAGAATTTAGCAATAGAATTTAGACTTGTATATCACTTCACGATACTCTACAGCCCTCTCTAAGCAGTTTACAGAGTCAGCATATGGCCCCCAACAATCTGGGTCCTTGTTTTACCAACCTCAGAAGGACTGAAGGCTGAGTCGACTTGCAGGTGGTCAGGATCGAATTTCCTGGCTGTGGGCAGAGTTTAGCCTGCAATACTGCCTTCTAACCACTGCACCATCACAGCTCATTATAACCATTCATTTAGTAACCATTTGAAGTTAAACAGCATTGAAAAAGTGGCTTATGATCATTTTTCACACTTATGACCATTGCAGCGCTCCCCCATGGTCACGTGATCAAAATTGTCGCACTTGGCAACTGATGGTTGCACCATCCTGGGGTTACGTGATCCCCTTTTGCGACCGTCTGAGAAGCAAAGTCAATGGGGAAGCCAGATTCACTTAACAACTGGGTTGCTAACTTAACAACTGCAGTGATTTGCTTAACAACCATGGTGAAAAGGTCATAAAACGGGCCAAAAACTCACTTAACAACTGTCTCGCTTAGCAATTGAAATTTTTGGCTGAATTTGTTATCGTAAATTGAGGACTTCCTGTACTCAAAGATGCCCCGTTCTCTTGCTCCCATCACTATGGACATTTATGGGGTTTGGGCAGTGGTGGAATTCAAATTTTTTTACCACCTGTTCTGTGGGCTTGGCTTGGTGGGCATAGCAGGGGAAGGATACTGCAAAATCTCCATTCCCACCCCACTCTGGGACCAGCCAGAGGTGGTATTTGCCAGTTCTCTGAACTACTCAAAAATTCCGCTACCGGTTCTCCAGAACCTGTCAGAACCTGCTGAATTTCACCCCTGGGTTGGGCAGTAAATGTGAACATTGTCCATTGTGCTACTTGGAGGAAAAAAATCTTAAGGTTATTTTTGTTTTAACCGTAATTTAGCTTTTCCTTCTGTGACTGTAAGAGTTTTTCAATCTGCTTTGTCCCACCAGGTTCTTCTTATTCTGGCATAAAAATCTCTCTTGTTTTGCCTATTTGTTTCCTGTGATAGGAGGGCAACCCTCCCCAGTCATTCCCAGAGGCCTCGTCACTGCCAAATCCCTCCTTAATGCATTTCCCTCGCAAGAATTATGCGAATGCATTATTAATTCAGAGCCTGTAATTAGCTAACAAGTGGGTAGTATATTTCAGAAACAGGTTTTTATAGATAGATTTTTTAATCTCTCAGGCCTATAAGTAATACTTTTATGATACAATTCTATGCATATTTTATGGGTGAGCCCAGCTCTGTGCCTTAAATGCCGTTAGCGCTTTGGAATAAAAACAGAGTATAAATAGAAATAGATGAAGTTTACAGAGCCAACAGTATAGCTGACTTGCAGATATTCCAAGAAATGTTTTCCTTCTGCAACCTAAGTCCAAAAAATGCTTTAATTCATGCATATAAAAAGTTTGCAACTTCTGGAATTGCTTTTTCAGTTTGGGGATAGCCCTCCAATCTGAAATGGTATAGGCCAGCGTCTCTTGGCTTGAGCAGGGAGTTGGACCAGGACACTCCAATGTCCCTTCCAGCTCTATTATTCTATTCTGTCCTGATTCTGGGAGAACATCTATGGACAATGCCATAGCTACGCTGGCTGGGGAATTCTGGGAGTTGAAATCCATAGGTCTTAAAGCGGTTGAGGTCAAACACCCCTATTATAGATCATATAGATCAGCGGTCACCAACTGGTGGTCCGTGGACTACTGGTGGTCTGCGAGAAAATTTTGGTGGTCCGCAGAAAAATTATTTGCGTTTTTTATATTGCACTAAATCAGTGGTCCTCAAACTACGGCCCCTGGGCTGCATACATGCAATGAACGTTTGTGTTGCTGCAGAGAGTCTCCCTCTTCAGGGTCTTTTTGTACAGGTCAGAGTGGGGGCAGAAATTCTGACTCGGGGTCTGCTTCGGCCTCCTGGTGTGGGGCTTTGGGTGAAGGTTGGAGGGAAGAGCCACTGGTGGCAAAGAGCCGGAGAGCCTCGTTCCAGTGGGACTGCCTCAGGGCCTGGAACTGGCTGACCATCTCAGCCCGTTGAGCCTCCAGGCGCCGGTACCTGGCCTTGCACTCCCACAGGTCTCCCCTCTGCTTGGAAAGCCTATGCTCCTAGTCCTCAGTGAGGTGCTTCTACTGAGCCTCTTTCTCGGTCAGATCCAATTTCAACTGAGCTGTTTTGCCAGCTCTTTCTCGTGATGGCTGCTTAGCTCCAACAACTGCTTCCTGTTGCGGTCCTAAGGAGCCCAGGTGGGAGAGGAGGAGGGGCTGGGAGGGGAGGGGCAAATAGAGGGCAGCGAGGCACTCCTCAATGTGAGTGACATCGAGTTGACCACGCCCACCCAGTCACATGACCACCTAGCCATGCCCACCCAGCCGGTCATTAGGCAGATCATATTAGTGGTCCGTGGGATTTAAAATTATGAATTTAGTGGTCCCTGAGGTCTGAAAGATTGGTGATTCCTAATATAGACCATGGCCATAAAGTTTTGCCTTTAAGAGCATGTTCTGAGTACAGCACTACGTCCGTGGCCAAGACTGAGTTCCCTATACTCGGGGCTAAATACCGAGTGTATCCTTCTATACCACTGCTGGGGTTTAATATTCTAGCAGTTTTACAAACCTTCTGTAACTATTCTTTGTGAGTTCAGATTTCCCTGGATTGAAATCAGAGGAGGTTCTCGCCTTCATAAAAATGTAAGAAGCGAATTATGCTGAGTTTTGCTTTTAAATCTCACATCCTGAAGTTCGTTCCTTCTGCCTTTGCTTGTGGAAAGCCAGCTGGGAAGGTCACAAAGGGTGAGACACTGCAACCGTCTTTAAACCCATGCCGGTTAGTCAAGCCCCTCCTCGAATTTTGATCATGGGACCATGCAGATGCTGTGACCATCATAAGTGTGAGGAACAATCACAAGTCACTTATCATATGTGGTGGACTTGTATGAAAGCAAGAAAATATTGGAAGAAAATACATGCTTGGTTGGGAAAGATGATTAAGAAACAGAGATCTGAAACCAGAAATATTTTTGTTGGGTATAATACCGGAAGGTTATGATAAAAGGACTACGGTATATATTTAGTTTTGCATGTACTGACAGCAGCAAGGATCGCATTTGCACAATATTGGAAAAATGAGAACACTCCATCAGATGAGGATGCAATTCGGAAAATATTAGACTGGGCAGAGATGGACAGATTGACTTTAAAAATAAAAGAGAAAGAAGACACGGAATATTACTTGATATGGAATAGACTTTATGGTTAGAGATATGAGGTAGAAATTAGATGAAGAAAGATGATTGCTATGTATAAATTAAATATAAAGATGGTTTATATTTATAAATATGCCAATATAATTAACAATGATAAATAAGCTAATATAAAGAGACATTTAGCCAAAACTATTCTGTTACATTACTACGATTGTTACCATTAATATTTCTTTTTGTTCTTTCTTTGTTTTTCTTTTGTAAATGATATATCCTGACAATACACTGTATTCAAAATGTTTATGAATTTTTTTTTAAAAAAAGTCACTTTTTCTTCAGCGCTATTGTAACTTTGAGTGGTTCCTAAACCAATGATTGTAAGTTGAGGACTACCATATTTCGGAGTATAAGACGCACTTCCCACCCCCTAAAAGAGGCTGAAAATTTGGGTGCGTCTTATACTCCGAATGTAGCTTTTTCGAAGGTTTTTTTCAGCCCTAACGAGGCGCTAGTGAGTCAACCAATCTTCCGAGCTTTGCCTACTTTTCTCTTTGCTTCTCTCTCCTAAGATCAGCTGTGCTTTAGAAGCTTTTTTCAGCCCTAACGAGGCGCTAGCGAGTGACGCGATCTTCCGAGCTTTGCCTGCTTTTCTCATTGCTTCTCTCTCCAAAGATCAGCTGTGCTTTAGAAGCTGTTTTTTATCCCCAAGCAGGGGATAAAAAGCACACGCACATGCTCAAAACCAGCAAACTAATGTGCTGAAGCTGACCAGACTAAGGACGCTAGCCAGATGAATACCTCGTAGGCAGATTTTTCCCCCCTATTTTCCTCCCCAAAAACTAAACTGTGTTTTATACTCTGAAAAATACGGTACCTAATTTCTTTCTTACTGTGAGCAATGGAAAAGGTGTCTTTTTAAAAAAGGTGTCTTTTTTAATCTGTGTTTCGGCCAAAATATTTAATAATTTTAAGGGACTTTTAATATTTGTATTATCTGTATTTTATCTTGGCTGTTCACCGCCCTGAGTCCTCCGGGAGTAGGGCGGTATAGAAATTTGATTAATAAATAAATAAATAATAAATAAATAAAAGCAGGGGAAATTAGACACGTGACAGATAGTCCTTGACTTACAACTGTTCGTTTAGTGATCGCTGGACACAGTACAGCAACACTGAAAAAAGCGGCTTATGATTGGTTTTCACACTTACGACCGTTGTAGCATCACCATGGTCGCGTGATCAAAATTCAGACGCTTGGCAACTGACTCGCATTTATGACGATTGCAGTGTCCCGGGGTTACGTGATCCCCTTTTGCGACCTTTTGACAAGTAGTGGGGAAGCCAGATTCACTTAACAACCGTACTTGCGATTAACTTAACAATTGAAGTGATTCGCTTAAGGACTTTGCCAAGAAAGGTGGTAAAATGAGGCAAAACTCACTTTAAAATGTCTCACTTAGCAACAGAGATTTCGGGCTCAATTGTGGTCATAAGTCGAGGACTTGGCGGTACCGCTTTCCATATATCAGCCCTGCTTATTGTTACCAGAAAAATATTGCTGGGGGTGGGTTGGCAGTAAATAATACCATGAAATACTTTAGAAATATTTCTGCAGAATTAATTGTGAGCTTTAGTTAACCTCGTCAACTAATTGAGAACAATGAATTCAATGACGATCATTGATCTCGTGCAAAAAATAATTACGGATTTGTTTTGTCTTTTCTCTAGAGTCAACTTGGAATTCGACCATCAAAATTAAACATAAGGAGAAGGGTAAACTATTTAATTTTTAAGTGCATTTTTCTTTCAAGTCACCACAACAATCTCGATGGAATTTTTTTTTTGGTGTGTTTGGCTTTGTGGTTCAAATCTCTTAATTAGACCACAAAGAAGAAGAAAAACAAGAATTAGATTGTTTATGCACTGATCTTTCTCTATCCTAAGTAAATAAACTCGGGAATAAGCCTTGCAGCTTCCAATTTAACAGAAATAATTGGTTAAGCTATAAATATGCATATTTAAATCTGGCCTTTAAATACAATCCATTGGACGCAATTTGGAGATTAAGCCTAGATGATATTATACTGACAGCTGAATTCTATTTAATCAGATATCCAGAAGGGTCCAATGACAATTGCAGTAGTAGAGGAATCAAAACCCCACCCTACCCCCTTTGTATGTGTGAACATTACTACCCTGTTTTCCCCAAATTAAGACATCCCCTGATAATAAGCCCAATCGGGCTTTTAAGCACATGGCAATAAGACCAAGCACTTATTTCAGGGTTCAAAAAAAATATAAGACAGGGTCTTATTTTCGGGGAAACACGGTACCAATATCTATTTTCTCCATGTCTCTTCTCAGTCATCTTCTAAAATTATTGTTTTAATCAAATATGTCAAAAATGTTTCATTACATTACTAAATAAACAGAGTCTTCCGAATGAAGGCGAATATAGGTATCCCAGATTGCAAGGTCCAATCTGGGTCGGACACCGGGGCCAAAGGTTTATTCTTCCCAGCTTTCGGACTCATGTACGAGGACAAACCATGCACTGCAAAGATCGCTTGGCGGTAGGAGATACTTCTAACGTAATCTACCGGATCCACTTCGTAGATTGTCCCCGTGACTAAGTAGGACCGATGGGGAGGAAGCTAACTACCAGATTGCAAGAACGCAAGTGAGCAGTTAGATGAGGAGACCTTGCGATGAACAAGGTCACATATTCAATTTTGCAGCTATTAAGATTGTTGGCCGAGCAGGGACAAAAATAGCCAGGGGAATGGTTGAAGCCTGGGAAACGGGCCCCTTGTTAGCTAACAGGAGTGCTGATTTGCCACCAGTTTATCAGGTACTTAGGAACCAAGGGCTTGGCAGCACAAGGAAACAACAGCCAATGACATAATAGCCAGCCATCAACAACTAAAAAGCCACACACAATCAGGCACCACACACAGAATAGCCCAAAGCACCCACACGCTGAGGAAGGGCTCCAGTACAAGTCTGAAAGCTCAGAAGACTAAATGTCTGGTCCTCGTGGCCAAGCCAAATTGGAAACGGAGTCTTTGTTCAATTATCCTCCTGTGGCACAAGAAGAAAAGATAAACTCTTCCATTGTCACCTGTGGATTTCAATTTATAGAAGCGAAACGTATAGACCCATTTTTCTCTCTCAAAATGTTGTCCTTTGGTATAACTGCTAGACAGATTGTTGCCTGCTTAACAACAATTCACTATGATTTTCAATTACCAAAAATTAACAAATTACTCTCAGAGGAGTAATGGGAGACTGTTCAACTACACTGTCATCAATTGGGAGACAAACTCTGGACCAACTGGGACTTAGACTTAGAATAACTTTATTGTCACTTTGAACGTACACTAATCGGCATATATTAAAATGAAATTTCATTGCCTACAGCTCTCAAAGTGTCACCACCTCCAACATACACTCCATAAACATGACTAAATAAATGAATACAAAATTATGCATATACCCAGAGAAACAACACAGTCTAGTTCGGATGCATACACGTACATGGCGAGAAAAACGAATCCTGTGAGTTTACCACAAGGAATGGCACAAGGGAGTAAAGCTGATACAGAATCTGGTAATTCTGCTAGAAATACTTGGAAACCTCCCAGAGGGGAGCAACAGAAACAGAGACCATAAAGTGGGTGTGTGGGGGTCTCTAACGATGTTTTGAGCTCTAAGCACATAGCGCTTGTAAGCAGTATCCTGAATAATGGGAAGTGAGCTTCCTATAATCTTCTCCGCTGTCCTCACCACTCTCTATAGGGACTTTCTATCTGAGGGAGATGGAACACGTTCCTGACAAGCCTAGCTGTTAACTTTGTCATCCAAAGAAATAAATACCTGATTCAACAGCAATAACTGTGAGAGGGGTTTAGGAGTCCTGGTGGACCACCACTTAAGTATGAGCCAATAGTGTGCTGCAGCTGCTGAAAAAGCCAACACAGTCCTGGGCTGCATCAACAAAGAGATAGTATCAAAGTTATGTGAAGTGATAGCACCACTTTATAATATGTGGTAAGACCAAATATTGGATCCAGTTTTGGTCGCCATAATATTACAAAGATGTGGAGACTCTGGAAAGAGTGCAGAGTAGAGCAGCAAAGATGATGAGGGAACCGGAGTCTAAAACATATGAAGAACGGTTGCTGGAATTGGGTACGTCTAATTTAATAAAAAGAAGGACTAGGGGAGACATGATAGCAGCCTTCCAGTATTTGAGGGGTTGCCACAAAGAAGAGGGAGTCAAGCTATTCTACAAAGCACTTAAAAGCAAGACAAGAAACCATGGACGGAAACTAACCAAGGAGAGAAGCAACCTGGAACTAAGAAATTTCCTGGCAGTGAGAACAATTAACCAGTGGAACAACTTGCTTCAAGAAATTGTGGGTGCTCCAATGTTGGAAGTTTTAAAGAAAAGATTGGAGAGCCATTTCTCTGAAATGATACAGGGTCTCTTGTTTGGATGGGTGTGTGGGTGTGGGCACCTCTATCACAGATAACATTACCTAGTTGGGTCATGAAACATCTGCAAGAAAGCTACCCAGCTCAAAGAGCACCAAGGGGCCGATCAATCCTGTTCAATCCTGAGCTTGTTCTGACCCTGTTCCACTCACGAACCCCCACAGACAGCCCGGAGTTAATAAGCCACACGACAAAATTCTTTGAAAATAAAGCTGGCAGCAACCTAGTGGCTAGCTGCCAATTCAGACTTTACTCACACAAAACAAAGATTAGACTGCCAGCATTCTGATAAAACAGGCAGAGTTTTCAACAATACAAGGATTAATCCAAATGCAGTCCGATAAAGCAGGCAAAGTCCAGTAACACAGAGATCATGGATTATTTCCAGTTTTTGCTCATCACAAACTGAACCGACCACCACACCCACATTTATACCCTGTGGGGTGTGGTCCAGTGACTCAGCTAATCTCTGGCACGCCTTCCCCTCTGCTGCGCACGCTTCTCCCTGCGCCTCTGCCGAGGGTCCAGCCAGCACTTATCTTCTTCGTCGCTGTCCACCTGTGGCTGCGGGGACGTGCTTGGCTCTGAGCCTATCGTTTGGCCTTCGGTGTCCTCCGGAGGCATTGCCAGAGAGGAGGGTCCTGGAGAGGGAGGCCTTGCCAACTCCTCTCCCTCACTCTCAGAGTCTTCATCTGTCAATAGCCCAGGCTCAGGCAACGGAGCCACAACAGGAATGTCATGTTGCTTTTATGTCACCCCTAATCATCTACTTCGATCAACTCTTCAAAACTCTCACATGCCTTCTGCAAAAAATTAATTCTTGTTTCTATCTATCTAGCCCACAATCAACTGAAGCGCTACGATATGTGCATTCTTTGGGCTCTAGATTTCTGAGCATTGTTGCCCCGACTTGAACATACGCTTACAAGTCTTCACCTGGAATCCCCGAAGATTCACGGCTTGCCTTGTGCGAAGCTCGGGGAATGAATGGGGCAGTCCTTTGATTAATATTCCATCCGTCCCCGTGGAGGGCAGACGTACAGAGAGCGATCTCATTACTGGAGTGGCTATTCCCCCCTATGACGGACGGTTTTAAGCAAAGCTCCTGTGAGGAGCAGATTAAAAGAGGAAAAGGGATGTATTTGAAATTCTGCTCAGGGTAGCCTCCTCAAACAAAAGAGGACCATCGCCTCGGGCCCCTGAGCTCGTTTTAATCAATGCCTCCTATCCCTCCGAATAGGGAATTTAAATTCATCGGTTCCTCTTCTTGTCCGAATGCAGAATATCAGAGTCGGAAGGGACCTTGGAGGTCTTCTAGTCTAACCCCCTGCTTAAACAGGAGCCCCTATACCAGTTCAGACAAGTGATTGTCCAATCTCTTTTTAAAAGCCTCCATTGATGGAGAACCAACACCTTCTGGAGGCAATCCATTCCACCGGTTAATTAATAGAATGACAGAATCACAGATTTGGAAGGGACCTCGGAGGTCTTCTAGTCTAACCCCCTGCTCAAACAGGAGACACTATACCCGTGATGGCAAACCTATGGCTCACGTGCCAGCGGTGGCACGCACAGCCCTCTCTGTGGGCACACGCGCTGTTGCCAGCTGCTCTTCTGGTTTCCAGTGCACACATGCGCGCCAGCCAGCTGCTCTTTGCAGGCGCTGGGGCGCTGGAACATGGCCTGGAAAACCACCAAAAAACAGGCCATTTTTCGGGCTATTTTCAGGCCGTTTTCAGGGCCACTTCTGGCCCAAAAAACAGGTTGTTTTTTGGATTGTTTTCAGGCCTTTTTCGGGCTGTTTTCAGGCCATTTTTCAGGCTGTTTTTCAGCTGTTTTGGGGCCTTTTTTGGGCCAGAGGTGGCTCTAAAAACGGTCCAAAAAGCATGAAAACAGCCCGAAAAAAGGCCAAGAAACAGGAATGCGTACACTGGCCGGCTGGTCTTCAGCTTTCCGGCACTCCAGCGCAGGCACATGGACACACATTCCAGTTTGGGCACTCTGTGCCGAAAAGGTTTGCCATCACTGCACTATACCATTTCAGAGAAGTGATTGTCTAATCTCTTCTTAAAAGAATCTCTTCTTGCTTAACGCATTGTAAGCCGCCCTGAGTCTCCGGAGAAGGGCGGCATATAAAAATAAATTAAAAAAAATAAAAATAAAAATAAAAACCTCCAGGGATGGAGCAGCACCCATAACTTCTGGTGGCAAGCTGTTCCACTGGTTTATTGTTCTCACCGTCAGGAAATTCCTCCTTAGTTCTACGTTGCTTCTCT